GTGTAGATAGTAAAGTCAGTGTGAATTCTCGATATCATTACGTGGACAGCGCACGTGGTTGTGTTGGGTCCACCACTGTTGAGATCAGACAACTCAGCAAGAGTCGTTAACAAGTGGCTCTAAGCTCATGAGCAATATACTAATCATACCACCAGAATAAGGGTTGAGAGCAGCTGAATATCGGAGTTTCACGACTCGTTTTACGTGAAGTGGCGTAAAACTCGGTGAAAAAAACGCGATATTTGCGGTGGTATGCAGTGGTCGTGAAATATATTTTTCACTAGTGTTATTCATATCGCGGCCGCCCGTGAAACTCCATTGTTGTTGACAGGTTCTAAAATTCGGCAATTTTGTGAATCACGGGTCGACGGATTTGACCACAAGAGGGTATACGCTGGAGTCACTACTGAAGTTGATGGAGTTCAAGTCTACCAACGTGCCGGGTGTGACGATGCTGCATTACGTGGCGTGCCGCCTTATGGAAGGGGAAAAGGGCGACCAGTCGGACCCAATGAAGTTAGTGGAAGAACTCAGTCTGGTGGGTTTGGGGTGGGAGCGATTACTTGGATTTGCTTCTTCCTCGTGAAGGTGGTAACGGCAACTGGAGAGAGCACTGAAGTGATCATATCTACCCTAACGTCAATGGATAGGGATATGCAGATGTTTCAGAGGGAGGCTGTTCAGCAGGCCTCGCAGTACTCGGAGGAGGCCCTTGGCAGGTGATGAGTTCATTCGGTCTGTGGGTGAAGACCAAGATGACATTTTTTATGTAGGTTGGAATCATTCACTCGAGAAGCGTCAGATGAAGTGAACGGGGTGAGAGAGGAGTGGACAGCGTGTGAGGAGGCTTTGAAGGAACTACGACGGTAAGGATGAACAACGGTGGTGAATTTGTAGGAATTGTGGTTGGCAGGTTTTTCGGCGAAGACCCAAGGCGGTGTAGTGTGGAGGATTTCTTTGGAACAGTGAAGGCGTTCTTGGACAGCTACAAACGAGCTTGTGGTGACATACGGAGGAACCCTAAGAAATTTCAGCAGCTTATATACCGTAAGTTGGCCAAATCGTACCCGTATGATGGTGTGGCTCAGCACCGCAGTCTAAGGGTCCTGGCGGATGAAGGAGGTTTGCATGGTGTAGATTAGCGAGTGACAAGTGGGAAAATGCAGGTAGACTCGCTCACTGTGTTGCGATCTAGTCTTTGCATATTCGGTCGGAGAGAATTAGTGATGATAACATCCAAATGAAAGTTGGTGGTCAATACTGATGATGCCAATTTGATGCAATGCTGGAAAATATGCACAAGAGCACGTGTCGGTGGCAATATGAAAATTCCGGGAAATTGCTGTTGGCTCCTGAACGCTTCTACTCTAATTCGTATAAATGAGGAGACTCCTGAGCTCAGCTGAGGACAGCGACCACATATAAAGGTGCATGGTGTAACGGTCGAACACGTGAGTTAATCAGTGGCGATGGGACTCTCATGGGTCAACTCAGTGACGCAAGTGAATCTACATGTACATTGTTCACTTTTGTTATATACCGTAATAAGAGTAGATCGTGAATACGATAGAATATTTAAACGCATTGTAGTCCACCATATCATAAGTCTTTTACACTGTATGTGTATTCCGTGGCTCAGGTCAATTCCATCACCTCTGTGGTGCCGAGCTGCCTATTGTTATTATATTCATCATTGTTCTATTGATACCATTCACTGCAGATGACCATTGTACATTGCCCTCTCCGTTCTACCTCAATCTTGCGTTACATCTATCAACGTAGCGCTGGTACAGTGAAACGTATTATGTGTCTGCCTGATTTCCGCCAAGTATTAGTTTGGTTTCAAATGCTAAGGAGTGTTGTGTAGAAAGTCGCATCACGGACCGCAGCACAAATACTATGTGTGGGAAATGGGCCTACCCCATGTTTTGGTGAAAATATGAAAATTCTGAGGAAATTTCACGTGGTTCTTTAGCTGAATTTGTATGGAAGTTCTGTAATTAGTGAGGGCACTTTTGGATTCACTTGAGGAGAACCAACACGTTTCCAAACACTGGGGACTGCATTTTATCTGTCATCGGTCTGGTAGTTCTCCTGGAGTATAGAGCTAGCATACTTGGAGTTCACGATTCGACTTTTGTGTAGAATGTCTACTACGAAAGTTGAAGTTTCGACAATTTTATAAACTTATCGGCAAACTGAGTTTGTGGAGTAGTTTTCTGGCACCTTATATTTTTATATGTATCACAAGAGATAACTGAGATTTGTTGTGGCGAATTATGTAGTTGATAGGGAGGAATCACGATGATTACGATACTGAAGACTACTGAGACGAGGTCTAACCGCGGTAGCTAGAGTATAGGCTTGAAATTGGCACAATTCGGGACAGGAGCTGTGATGCGGATACTACATGTGGAGGGCAAGAGCCTTACATAAGGCTCGTGTTCAGCGAACAAGGGTTGGTCTAACATAGGGAGATCTTCGAGGCTCATTGATGGTGGCACATGTGATTAGTGATGAGTACCGTCGCACTGAGCTGAGGTAGCTAATAAGCTTGGGGGCGTACAAGCGTAACTTCTGTATGCATATTGGTTTTTCATCTTGTCGTAGTTCACGGCCATCGCTTCATAGCATGGGATGGAGAGAAGATGCTCTGAATAACCTTACCGATGGTTGAGCCTTCCGTCCTTTGTATAGCGTTCATACTGTATGGTGAATCAGTTTGACGACTTTCCACAGTAAACATTCACAGTCTCTAGTCGGGTGGATTACTTACATCTGATTACTCAACAATGTGGGGAAATTTTTGGTGATAAAATCCACGTCGACTCCTGATGGGAGTTGTTCGCTATTGTCTGAGGGAATACTTCGTCGTAATGAGTTTTTCATGGGTATGGAAGCAATACCACCAGTTGAGAGGATAGTATCACCACAGACGG